GCCAGATAATTCTAAATTCTAAAGACAAATAGAATAGAAAGACAGATTTTCTTCACCTGACAAATAGTAATAAATAATTGCCATATGAATAAAAAATGATGACTAAAATCATTCCTATCATTTAATCGTTAAACATTATGGTTTTATACAACAATTAATGCATTTTGAGGTATAATAATATGTAACTGTTTAATTATATAAATTTTTATTTCTACTTCCATATAATGAATTACCATTTCGATATTTCTGTTGTATTACATATGGCAACTTATAATAACATAATTGCGTTTAGTTTATGATTATATTACTTTTATTTATTAAAATCGTTTTATTGATATTATTAATTAATCTCAAGTTCTAAAAATATTGTTGCACGAATAAGTCGACGTCATATTACCGGCACTAGCGCCATCTAGTGTCAGGGACGAGAGCGATGGGAGCTTTCCAGAAAATTACATCACTAATCTTTCAACCGACAGCGCCATCTAGTCTCGGAACGAAGAACTAAGCTTCTAGAAGTCGACACTCGAACTCTCGGCCCCTTGCGCGTGTTTACTTGAATATTCTGGATGTTTCGGTGCTAATTTGTATTTATAGGTGCTGCAAGATGTGATCGGGGAAGTATTGAATTTGGCGAGACAAGCGAAGCTTCGGAGCGAAATAAAGTGAATCAGTGTGATTAATTATTAGTGTTTTAAGTTTTAATTGGTGTAAAGAAAATTAAAGTGTTAATTTAGGTAATTCTATCGGTATTTTTTCGTCACGAACCTCAAGCCCGTAACAATTGGTGTCAGAAGTGGGATAAAATCATGCTGATTTTACCTAAGGAGGAAACGGAGGGTGTCCGTACCCGAAGTCAACGCCAGCAGGAGATGGACCAAAGAAAATTTGGTGGTGCAACGCCGCAGACGTCGGAGGGCCAGCCACCGGCTGCAGGCCCGTCAGTAGCTCCTACATCTGCAGCACCCGACTTAGGTGATCTGATTGTGATGCTGCAGGAACAGGCTCGCCGACAGGAGGAACAGGTCCGTCGGTTGGAAGAGCAGCTGCGGGGCGGACAGGATGAACAGGCCCGTCGACAGGAGGAACAGGTCCGTCGGTTGGAAGAGCAGCTGCGGGGCGGACAGGATGAACAGGTCCGCCGACAAGAGGAACAGGCCCGTCGGTTGGAAGAGCAGATGCTCCTCATGAAGGACCTTCACGCTACCTTCGGAAAAGAGATACGGGAGGTGAAGGATAAGGTTGCTCAACATGACAGCCGCCTATCGGAAGCTGAAACTCGAATCGAACAAGTAAACAATCGGGTTGACAACGTAATGGCTGACATGAAGAAATCACTGAACGAACTCAAACTTGGAGATGGAACTTCAGCTCCCGTAGTAGCTACAACACCTTCGCTACGTGGGTTCAAGTTGCCACCGTTCGACGGGACTTCTTCCTGGTCAGCCTACAAAATCCAGTTCGAGGCTGTTATGAAGGCGAACGGCTAGAATAAAAGTCAGGCCATGACTACTCTCACACTAGGCCTGCGCGACCATGCCTTAACAGTTCTGGAAGCTATCGGTGAGAAAGTGACTTATGAGCAACTGGTTGAGGCATTGGGGGCGAGATATGGCGACGCTCACCTGGAACACGTCTTTCGTGCGCAGCTTAAATATCGCGTGCAGCGCATCAACGAAAGCCTGCAGCAGTGGGCTCTAGAGGTCGAGAAGCTGGTGCAAAAAGCATACCGGTCTGTACCTGCGCTCATTGAAGGGAACCTGATGCAGACATTCATCAACGGCATCCGCGACCTGGAAATCAGAGCTGTTGTGAGGCTCGGGCACCACGAGACGCTTAAGGACGCCTTGTCCCATGCACTGGAGGTGGAAGCCGTGCGGCAGGATCATCGTTCCCATCGCGTCAGGGAGCTTGCAGCAGCTACAGTTCGCGACCGCTACAAAGGATACATCCCTAGGTGCTATGGCTGTGGGGAAAAGGGCCATCTCTGATCCAGCTGCCCTAAGCGAAATCTAGAAAGGTAAGGTGAACGATCTCAAGAGGGTAGTGCGGCCAACAGCACCGCCCAGCAGCAACAGGGAAACGAGTAAAAGTCAGAACTGCGGGGCGGGTGCTGGCTGATGTTAAAAGAGCCCCAAGGATCTCGATCTCACAAACCCATGATGGGAACAGTCTAATCATTAAGGACGAGGTCAACGGAACGCCGTGTGAACTGGCCATAGACACTGGAGCCTCTCTTACGGTTGTTAGTTCCCAACTTATAAGTCAGTTCCTTGGGGACTCCGCATACAACCGAGAACGCATTAATTTGGTAACAGCCACCGGTCAGCGTATACCCATCCGTGGAGAGAAGGAGATGGAGTTGAAGCTAGGAAACGTGATCTACCTGCATAATGTCATCGTGGCTGATATAATGGACGACTGCATCCTAGGCCTAGACTTTATGAGGAATAATTGTTGTGAGATCGACGTTAAGCAAGGTGTTTTGAAATCAGCACATTTTTTGAATTTAACGCCTTTGAAATATCTGCCCGCCATAAACATAGACGAGGACAAATTTATTATTTCTGCACGCCATAAATTATTAGACCGTCTGGTGCAGTCGTTTTGGAAACGACGGAAGACGGAATATTTGCATACGTTGCAGTCTCGGCAAAAATGGAACACGATAACAGAACTTTCAACGGTCGGAACTGTGGTTGTACTCACCAAGGAGAATATGCCGCCTCTCCATTGACCATTAGGGATCATTGAAAAGGTTTTTCCCGGATCCGACGGGGTAACTAGGGTAGCTCGCGTTAGGACCACGACTGGTTCTTACATGCGCCCTGTTGTCCGTTTGTGCCCTTTGCCCAATCAATAGTTTGAAGTAGGTTTCTAGATTAGAAATTATAGTTGAAAATTAGGTTTAATCTTAGCGTTATTTAGTTTGAAGGGGACCCTTCAAGCCGGGGGATGGTTACGCGGAAATAATTCGTGTATTTGTAATTTCGTTCGAGGGTATTGCTTACCAAGAGTTTGTCCTACCTATAACCTCATATCCCTTCCGTACACACTGAAGGGGGAGGGAGGAGGGTCTAAAAGGTGACGTGATTCTTTCGACCAATAAAACGCGCGCCCGACCGAGATGAGGTGGTGAGAAAGCCGACCCAATAAAGGCTCGCGCCCTGCCCTCGAGCGCCCTCTTGCCTCGCTCCGCTAGTCTGAACAGCATCCCTGGGGCAGTCCCGCCCCAGAAGAAACCGCCTCACATAGTGTGAGAATTCGTCGCGCACCGTTCTTGCTTCGCACCGCTAGTCTGGATCGCATCTCTGGGGCGCCCCAGAAGAAACCACCTCACGTCGCGCCAGCTCCTCTTTCAACGCACCACCGCAACAGAAGCGTCGTCCGCAGCATCAGAATCACACCCCGATAAGTGTGTTTCCTTTAATTTTGCTCCTACTTGAGCCTTTTGTTTGTTAGCTAACCCGCCCCATTTTTTTTCTCCTTATCGGCTCAAGTAGAACTCCCTCCCAACCTTGGCGAAGCAATAGATTTGGAGGAGCGAGTGCATTGTCCAAGGCTGTCGCGTGCCACGTTCGCCATCTTGTTGAGGCATAAGAAGCCGCCCGCGTAATCAGTCCACCTAGTAACATCTCGCACAATAGGGTCAAGGCTCGACCTGGGAATCGAACTCGGAAACCCCTAGGCCCGTCGCTCAAACACTGTGGCATTCAACCTCGTTTAAGAATCAAAATGCAGATATATTGTCAACCCTGAGGTCTAAGATGGAATACTCACAATCGAAAAAGCTGCTATTTTACTCTGGTATTCTGTGAGAGCGTGGTTCTTCCCCGGTCGAACTAACCCATATGTGCCACAACCGTAATATAGCTGCAGTGTGGCTTTACCCCGTATAATTTATTGTACGTAACTACAAAACTATGAATACCTTGTTCAGATAAGAAAATCTTACCTGCTCTAGGAATGTAGAGCGTGGTATTATGCCGACGCCTGATAAGAAAGTGATTAATGTCACGCATGATCTACCTAAATAATATATTTCTTTTTAGTTTGGAACAAGATTACTTCCATCAACACTTTTTTTTAAATATACTGTTTATTTTTATATATGAACGTGAAAAACATTAAAAGTGAAAAATCGTTCATTTTATTGTCCACCATATGTGGCAAGTTGGTAGTTAAATAACCAATTTTTTTCATTCTCGATGTTCTCCTTTCACATTTCATTTTTCAGCAATTCCAACTTCTGTCTTCCTATCTTTAATTTATCATGATTTGTCTCTCTATTATATTTCTTACTCACGTTTAACCATATAGTTAAAGAAAATATAATTTCTATAAAGTATTATACTAAGCTTTAATGAAATTCATCTGTTAAATACTTGTATGAATTCCTATTTGGTATTTACCCATTTACATTTTTAACCCCATTATATTGTTTATTCATTCTTCGTTAAAAGGAGAATGATTATATTCCATTTTTTTAACAAGTAAAAAACACTACATACTTAATTTTTATCTATTTATTTTATTATAAAAAAAACAAACAAAAAACCTATTTCGTCTTTACTTAGCAAACACGTACGCTATAATATATGTTACGCGCTCCAGTCGGACGATACACTAGCGCCATCTAGTGTCAGGAACGAGAGCGAGGGGAGCACTGAGAAAATGACATCACAAATCGCTCAACTGACAGCGCCTAGTCGAAACTCGAACGCTCGGTACCTTCCGCGTGTTTACTTGAACATTCTGGATATTTCTTTGCTAATTCAAATATATAGGCGCTGCAAGATGCGATCGAGGTAGTATTGAATTGGCGATACGAGCGAAGCTTCGGAGCGAAATTAAGTGAATTAGTGTGTTTAATTATTAGTGTTTTAAGATTTAATTTGTTTAAAGTAAATTAAAGTGTTAATTTAGGTAATTTTATCGGCAATTTTTATTGTCACGAACCTCAAGCTCGTAACAATTGGTGTCAGAAGTGGGATTAAATCATGCCGATTTTACCTAAGGAGGAAACGGAGGGTGTCCGTACCCGAAGTCAACGCCAGCAGGAGACGGACCAGAGGAGGTTTGGTGGTGCAACGCCGCAGACGTCGGAGGGCCAACAGCTAGCCACGGAGACTGCGGGCCCGTCAGTAGCTCCTACATCTGCAGCACCTGACTTAGGTGCTCTGATGGCCATGCTACAGGAGCAGCTGCAGCGCGGACGAGAGGAACAGGCCCGTCTGTTGAAAGAGCAGCAGGAGGAACAGGCTCGCCAGCAGGTGGAACAGGCACGCCGATTGGAAGAGCAGCTGCGGGACGGACAGGAGGAACAGGCCCGTCGGTTGGAAGAGCAGATGCTCCTCACGAAGGACCTTCACGCTACCTTCGGGAAGGAGATAAAGGAGGTGAAGGATAGGGTTGCTCAGCATGACAACCGCCTGTCGGAAGCCGAAACCCAAATCGTGAAAGCTGAAAACCGAATCGAGAAAGCTGAAACCCGAATCGACCAAGTAAACAATCGGGTTGACAACGTAGTGGCTGACATGAAGAAATCACTAAACGACCTCAAACTTGGGGATGGAACTACAGCTCCCGTAGTAGCTGCAGCACCTTCGCTACGTGGATTCAAAGTGCCGCCGTTCGACGGGACCTCTTCCTGGTCGGCCTACAAAATCCAGTTCGAGGCCGTCATGGAGGCGAACGGCTGGAATAAAAGCCAAGCCATGACTGCACTCACCCTAGGCCTGCGTGACCAAGCCTTAACTGTGTTGGAAGCTCTCGGTAAGAAAGTGACCTATGAGCAGCTTCTTGAGGCCTTGGAAGCGAGATATGGCGACGCTCATCTGGAACACGTCTTTCGCGCGCAGCTTAAAGATCGCGTGCAGCGCAGCAACGAGAACCTGCAGCAGTGGGCCCTTGAGGTGGAGAAGATGGTTCGAAAAGCATACCAGTCTGTACCTGCGCTCATTGAAGGGAACCTGGTGCAGACATTCATCGACGGCATCCGCGACCTTGAAGTCAGAGCTGCTGTGAGACTCGGGCACCACGACACGCTTAAGAACGCCTTGGCCCATGCACTGGAGGTGGAAGCCGTGCGGCAGGATCATCGTTCCCATCGCGTCAGGGAGGTTGCAGCAGCTACAGTCCGTGACCGCAGCAAAGGATACAGCCCTAGGTGCTATGGCTGTGGGGAAAAGGGCCATCTTCGATCCAGCTGCCCTAAACGAGCCGTGGAAAAGAGAGTTGATCGATCTCGAGAGGGTAGTGCAGCTAACGGCACTGCCTGGCGGCGACAGGATCATCGTTCACCTCACGCTAGGGAGGTTACAGCAGTTACGGTTCGCGACCACAATAAAAGATACAGCCCTAGGTGCTATGGCTGTGGGGAAAGGGGCCATCTTCGGTCCAGCTGCCCTAAGCACACCCTAGGAAGGGAAGGTGAACGGTCTCAGAAAGGAAGTGCGGCTAACAGCACCGCCCAGCAGCAGCAGGAATACGACTTTACTATCAGACACTGCAGCGGGAAATCTCACGGCAACGCAGATGCATTGTCAAGAAGACCTTGTCCTGAAGATTGCAACCATTGTAGTAGGCAAGAGAGTAAGGAGGTGGTATCCGTGAGGATGCTCAGGACAGACCACCTCAGCAACGGGTGGAAGGACAACCTACGACATGCACAGCAGGAAGATCCGGACATCAAGCCGATTCTGGGATGGATGAAGGCCCGTGCTACCAAGCCTAAGTGGAGGGACGTCTCAGCGATGAGTTCAACCACGAAAAGCTATTGGGCCCAATGGGACAGCTTGCTGATTCAGGATGGAGTCCTGTGCCGTAAATGGGACAATGGTCGAAGAGACAGCTGTCGTTTGCAAATGGTTGTCCCTAAAGCTAAAGTGCCGAATGTTCTACAGTTGTGCCATAATGGTCGTTCAATAGTCCATCTGGGAGTTAAACGAACTCTACTGAAGGTCCGAGAACAGTTTTACTGGGTCCATTATCGTGACGATGTCGAGGATTGGTGTCGTACATGTACAAGTTGTGCGGCCGAGCGGGGACCTCGGACACGTAGTAGAGGAGCACCGAAATTGTACAATGTTGGTGCACCACGGGATAGGACAGCCCTTGACATTGCGGAGCCGTTACAGAAAGGCGCAAGAGGGACTCCTAAGATCGTCCATGTGAATCGCTTGGCGCGTTATTATGGGGCCGATAATGCTCGGGACGAGCATGTCTTAGGAGGGGGCAGTGTTACGCGCTCCAGTCGACGATACACTAGCGCCATCTAGTGTCAGGAACGAGAGCGAGGGGGAGCATTGAGAAAATGACATCACAAATCGCTCAACTGACAGCGCCTAGTCGAAACTCGAACGCTCGGTACCTTCCGCGTGTTTACTTGAACATTCTGGATATTTCTTTGCTAATTCAAATATATAGGCGCTGCAAGATGCGATCGAGGTAGTATTGAATTGGCGATACGAGCGAAGCTTCGGAGCGAAATTAAGTGAATTAGTGTGTTTAATTATTAGTGTTTTAAGATTTAATTTGTTTAAAGTAAATTAAAGTGTTAATTTAGGTAATTTTATCGGCAATTTTTATTATCACGAACCTCAAGCTCGTAACAATATAATGTACGTGTTTTGAACTTTAACATTATTTGCTTCTCAGTGGGAAGTTATCTTAATATCTCCACGTTTCAAGGTCGTTAGAGTCAAGTAGTACGGTTTTTAAGAGGATGTCCGTGTGTGCATATACATACGGTATACCGTATGTATATGAGGAAGTTCTACTTGAGCCGGTAGGAGAGAAAATGTGACGGGATAACCAACAAACAAAAAGGACTCAAGTATGCAAAATAAAATAAAAAGGAAAACGCACTTTCCAGGGTGGAGTCCTTATGCCGCGGACAACGCTTCTGTTCTGGTGGTTCGTTGGAAGAGGAGCTGATGCGCGACGATTACTCACACTACGTGAGGCGGTTAATTCTGAGGCGCGACTGCCCCAGGGATGCGATCAAAACCAGCGATGCGAAGGAAGAGACCGCTCGAAGGCGGCGTGCGCCCCTTTATTGAGTCGGCAATCTTAACACCTCATCTCGGTGGGGGACGCGTTTTCATTGGCCGACAAGGTGGCACCACATTTTAGACCCCCTTCCCCTTCAGTGCGTGAGGAAGGAATGTGGATGCGGGAAGGACGGACACTTGGCGAGCAATATACCCCCGAACAAAATTATAAGAATACCCAATCCTTTTTCCGCGTAACCATTATGGTTCATTAATAAAACCACGTTTCGGAATCTGCTTCAAGCAAGCGCTATTTGGTTTTTTGAGATCGTAAAATCATATAACAAGATTATTCTAGAAAAGATAAAATGACTTCGATAACCGTTGGAGCTGGTTGTAGTTTATATGGAAGTTGAGAAATTTTATTATAACTTTAACTAAAAAATCGGACAATAGATCAGTTAAAAAGATAATATTATGTTTAAAACACTATAAGCCAACAGTCGCCTTAAAATTCATCTTCTTTTCGGAAAAGTAAACGATAAAACTGGATCGTACTAAGGTGGTGTTGTGTGATTACAGTAACCAACAGTTTTTTCTTCAGGGAAGCCATTCTACTCTTCCTAGTCTATGAACCAGTTAATGAAGATTAGGACTACGGAATTAATAAAAAAAACAATAGGACGTGGATTTGACTTACAAAGTACTGGGTTTGAAGAATAAATATTGATGCAGCCATGTGCTTTATCCTTAAACGAAGTTTCAAACGACCATTAGTCGGTAAACGGTCATTAATCATTATTTTTTATCATGCGCCAGCAAAATATTCTTTTTTTTAATATTAGTAATCTTATTAATTAACATTACTAATATTCCTTTAACCACTCCTGGTAAGCTTGAAATGCTTGTGTTAGGAGTGGTTCACGACAGTAGTCAAATGGCGGATTCGAACCCACGAACTTTTGAGTTCGCGATCCGTGCCCTGCCATTAGGCTACTGTCGCTTTTTTAATGTTTTTAGTAGATATTTCACGTTTTCAGGCTAAAATGTGTTTATTTTTTATAATTTATAATGCAAAAAACAGTAGGCAACTTTATTGGATACAATTTCAGTACATTTATATTTTTGACAATTCATCATTGTAATCATCGTTACCTTTGAAAATTCCACTGCTTGTCCTTTTGTGTCCAGGTTACCTACCCTTAGCACCCGTATTTGCAACCGCACTTTCTTTGCAATATAATATTGTGAAGGGGTTGCTTCCCATATCCTGATTTGTTTCCATTTATCGTATTCTATGACACCCATGGGACGATCAAAACGGTAAAAGACATTCTTACACCGCCTCTACACTATTGTTGACTATAAATGCTTCATAGATTTCTTGAAATATGTCAGATATATTATGCCTGTATTACCTATAAGTCGGTTAGATCGTTGAAGGAACGTGATTACAGAATACCCGCGTAAACTACCAGCATAATGCTGCAGCTCTAACGGTTAAAGGAGTATTCTAGTTAGTTCTCAGAGTTGACAGCGTATCTGATATACTGAATCGACTTTCACAAGTCATAAGAATATCATTACCATAATATTATTCTTGTGACTGTCGTTGGATTATTAGTATAAAAAAATAATATTTTAACAAGGTAATTCAAAGTAAAGTACCTAAATCACTCAAAAAGAGTGAAATTTCAAGATGACTCAGTGCTAATTCGTTTATTAAAACTCGATTGAATTGACGAATCCTACCTTAAGGAACAATTATTTAATTAACAAATTTTGTCCTCAAAGGCTGTAAGTACCTCGTAATTATAAGATTTTTTTTCTAATTTTTATCTTTCATATTTTAGCTGGCCATGGATCTTATTCAGATTAAATAATAATCATTGTTCGAGGGACCTATAGAAATGTTATTTAGAAATTCAATCTCTGTCACTTGAACTAATTATATCAAATACTTTACTTATTACGAAGAAGTAAAGGCAATCGATGTAGTGGTAGTTGGTGTATTTTTGAGCACGTGGTTCATCTGCTGGTAAGTGGATGCTGTAGCTCACAGACATCTACATAATGTCTCGATTAAGAATCAAACTGCAGATGCGTTGTCACCCCTGAGGGCTAAATTGGGAAGCTCGATTTTCAGCAAAAACGTTCTCCGTTTTTCTTCAGTTACTACTAGAAACACAGCAGAATAATGGTTCGATTTTACGCTGGTAAGCTGTGAGAACATGGTCCTTTCCCGGTTGAGCCGGACCATTCATATAATAACCAGTACCCGGTTGACCGAGCTTTGCTCGGTATTTTTCGCTCGATTTTTTTTAATTCGTGTGTTTTGGAAATTATATTCAGATACAAATTACATACTGATGAAATATAAATAATATTTTTTTGATCTTAGTGACATAACAGAAAAAACGGAACTGGTTATTTGAATAAAAAATCATTAGTGCAATTATTTTAATTTAAATTTTCGTGTTTTTTAAAAAATACTAAAAAAGGGCTCGAAAAAATAGATTTTCTCAAAAAAGAAAGGAACTTGAAAAAAAACTAATAAAGTCGGTCGGTCGGTCTGGGCTAGAACCGGGGTTTTACGATTCTGTGACCGCCCATTATACCAATTAAGCTATTTAAAATTATTAACAATCTGTCAAAATTTACCTTCTTATTCTAACGATATTGTAGCAGTTTTTCATTGCCATTTTCTAAAAATAAATCCTAGCTAGATCGATTTATTATCCCCGAAACTCTCTGGACACTAAATTTTATGAAAATCGTTGGAGCCGTTTCCGAGATCCCGATTATATATATATACAAGAATTGCTCGTTTAATAGTATAGGAAAAAAGGCTCGAAAAAATAGATTTTCTCAAAAAAGAAAGGAACTTGAAAAAAAACTAATAAAGTCGGTCGGTCGGTCTGGGCTCGAACCGGGGTTTTACGATTCTGTGACCGCCCATTATACCAATTAAGCTATTTATAATCATTAACAATCTGTCAAAATTTACCTTCTTATTCTAACGATATTGTAGCAGTTTTTCATTGCCTTAAAACACGGACAAAAAAGACATTTTCTAAAAATAAATCCTAGCTAGATCGATTTATTATCCCCGAAACTCAGGTAAATGTTGATCAGACGCGACTGACCGGATCAACATCTGCACTCACGAGACAGTTTGCTAGCTTTGGCCGAAGTTGATCCGATATACAAATCCACCTTGGGA